AGACTGGTGGGCCAGATCAAAGTTGAATGTGGCCCGCGGGCCACCAGTTGAATGGCCCCCAGTTTCCTGACCTGCTATTGGATTTGATTAAAGGATTTTTCATTCATGTCAACAAGTGATTGGTCGGAAAAATAACCCTGTGAAAGTGGAAAATTACTTTAGTTTTAGACTTTGAGTTTGTTGGTGTTTTGGCTGCTGTGACCCTTTGTTTTCATTCATTCATTCATTCATTCATTCATTCATTCTTTCATTCAGTGTTATCTGTTTACTGAAAGCATAAACCTGTTCTCTGTCTTCAGTACTTCATCTACTGCTGCATCCTGGGCCTGGTCTCGTGCTCAGTGTTCCTCAGGATTAACTATGAACTGAAGATGATGGTGATGCTGGTTGCCGTGGTGATCTACAACATCATCATCCTCCAGACGCACGCCACTCTGCTGGATGGCTTTAGCAAAGCCATGTACTCCACAGATCAGCTGGACAGGTTGGCACACAGATGTTCTCCTGTTTTTTTAACACCAGATATTGAAACAAAAAAGATCCAATCAAGAACCAAAAATGTGTTGAAAACCCTCCGTCTCTCTCCTCTCCTCACATCAGTTGATCCCAGCTTATAATATATATACGACTAATGAGACAGCAGCCCGGATTTGAGGGAAACTCTGAGGCAGAGTTGGCAGCATCCCATAATGCTGCCAGTCAAGTGGAGCTGCTGGAAAGAAGGCTGATGAGTGACAGGATGAGATAATTCAGGTTGGGGAGAATGAGACAAACTCATTTTTCACATTTGACTGACAACCCCCGGTGGGAAAAAAGACGAAAAAGAAAAAAAAATCCCATCTCAACCAAAAATTTTCATAACACTGAGAAATAGTGGTGAAAAAGATATATTTCCTCTCACTGGAATATTTCTCACTTTGTTTCTCACCTTGCTTTAATAACACGAGGAGTGTGCTGCTTTTCTACCAAAGGTAAATAAATAAGAATAGTTTCGAGGTGCTAAATGAAAAGGAAATAAACCAAGGCTGCCTGATGAATTAGGCTTACCATTTTATTTTTGATTCATCGTCAGCCTTTCTTTGCCATTACCTAAGCAGATTTCTTGCACATCCTGTCATAAATGTGTCAACAGTTTAGTGGTCCAGAATAGAACGGAGAGAAAACCCCTCCACAGAATCACAGAGTTGTAGCCGTTTTGGTAGCCTGGCCCTTTCCTTCTTACACACTTCCATTTAACTCTAATCTCCCTCTCTCCGATAGACAAGGGTTTCTCTGGTAGAATTTCAACCTGGCCAATCAGTGAACAGAAGGAGGAGCTGTGAACAATGACATCCACCTGTGGTTTAGCAATGGCAGCGGAGGAAATGAATGAAGTCAGTTCGTGTTGACAAGGCTCCCAAATTAAATTAAATTTGTCACAAAACCTGCAGCATCATTCACAGTCATCTCCTTCAGCTCTGTACTTCTCTCTTCCCAGTAGGGGATGATTGTTTACAGCACATGCAATTTCCGGTTAGCTTCTTAGCTTAGCCTCCTTCACGGTCAAGCTGTCGCACTACTTACGTCATGGCCAAACGTTAGCGACTCGGTAAATCAGATCCAATCGTTTTTAAACTTCAACAGAGGCCACGCCTCCAGCACGGAATCATTCCTCAATATAGTCGGGGAGCCAAAGTCTGAAAAATGGGTCTGCCATAAAAAAACATTCTGCCATACTTTTTATTTGTGATTTTTCTGTTAATTTTGACCCTAAGAACCAATAATTGGAGAGTCTACTCTGCTAGAAATATTGCATAAAATAAATGTGATGGAATGTATTTATTGACAGCCTACCCAACCCACTGAGGATTTGAGGGGGAAAAAATCACCTCTCACATTTTTCTGATGAAAAAATAAAGGATGCAAACAATAAAAAGGGCACAATTATTTTTCACAATATTTCCAGCAGGGCAGACCCTCCAATTAATGGTTCTTAGGGTGAAAATTAACAGAAAAATCACAAATAAAAAGTATGGCAGACCATGTCAGGTTCAATCCATTTAATCAAGCTTTTGAGACTTTAGCTCCCCGACTAATAGCCAAGAGTCCAGACCCTTTGTACAAAGCAAAGTGTAGAGCAAGGGTCTGGTTTTTACCAGGCTAGCGTTTTGGTCATAACTTCAAAAACATTATCCTCAAGTGATTCAGAGTATGTGTTGGTAATGACTCCCCTAAAAACAAAACAAAACAAAAATCATTCACTCACCCAACCAATAAAATCTAATTTTAGCTCGATTTGTAAAATTGACAGAGTTCGAGCTACTTTTGTGCTGACTTGATGTCAATCAGCTCTTGAATTAAATTGACTCTGAAAGTTAATCAGCTCTACATATGAACATCTAATAATTACATAATTTCTAAAATGTCCACACACCAAACCCACAGACTAGTGTGGTCCAGATCTGGCGATCAGAGCCGTCACGATGCAGTAGTCAAGGTAGGTATTTGCCTAGGGCCCCAAGCTGAAGGGGGCGCCCGAGGGTCAGTACTGAAGTGGCAAAATACATCAACCATCTAAAACACTGAGGGAACTGAAATGACTGGTGTCCCCACAGTACCTTCAGTTAAAGGAGGCCTGAGCTAATTATTTTCAATAAATTAATGATTGGAAGAGTTGGATAATCACAATTTTGAGAAAGAAGACCTCCCCCCCCCACCCCCAATAGCATTAATCGTCTTCCATAGATCCATTTAGGACTGTTTAATAAGAAAACATAAGCTAGTTTGACAAACCAAATCATAAAACATGATGCAAATATAGTTTTGACTATTATTAGTTTTTATTATTCAAAAACTTATGTATTTATTTCTTATTATTAGTTTGTGTTTGACATAACGAATGTACAAATTCAAGCACCACAAGATTCAGTGTATTACTAAAATAAAGATAAACATTTTGTCTTCGTTTAATAGTTACTGAAAGATGATTCAGTAAAAACGACAGACTTAAGAGTGAGGAAGGTTGAGGTTCTGTAACAAACTGTGGGTGGTACCGTTCATTATAAATAAGCTGTATATACTGATAAATCGCCGGAGGACCCAGTTGAACCCTGGTAACACAACTGATTGTGGTGCTTTTTCTGTTTTCAGACCGGGGGTCCTGAAGGATCTGAAGACCATGGGTTCTGTGTCTCTGTTCATCTTCTTCATCACCCTGCTGGTGTTAGCCAGGCAGGTGGGTAGATTTCTCCACGCCGCCCTGACTTCATTTCTCTGCACTCAGAGCTGTTATTAGATCAGTCAGCTCTCAGAGATCTTCACTGCCAGGAGAACAGAGAGAATTTTAACAGAACTGTCCTTAGCGGGTCTGAAATGACTTTTACTCTTTTAAATAATTTCTTTGAAGTGCTGAGGGATGTGGCGAAGGATACGATGAAAATGTTTGATCGGATGTTTTCATCGCCAGCCCGGTGAGCTGCCAACCGTCCCCTTCGCTCCCACCGTCCTCGCTTCAGATGAAGCCTAAACTCTGCCGACACACATTTTCTGCAGGGAGTTATGTCTTCTTTCAGGGGGTACCATCCATCATCTCGAAACTCAAAGCAGATGTTCTGAACGGGGACGAAAGCTCTCTGCTGCTGTAACCAAATCTGGAGCTCCCCAGGGAGCTGTAGTCGGTTCAAACAGCTCTTTGCGTTGTTCTCATTCTGGGTCACCAGACGGAAGAGGCGCCTGGGTTTAAAAAAAAACAGCTTCTCTTTTTGCTTTTTACAACTTCTGTTTTGTTTCACAGTTCAGTCCTCCAAATGGTTTTTGGTTTGCAATCCATAAT